AAGTAAAGCTCGTAAATAAACCAATTAAGTAGGTTTACGTGGTTACGAGGCATTTACGTATTTAGATGAAATTCCCATCTCGTTAGGTTTCAGCGCTGTATACCCAAATAATAATAATAATTTTAGTGGTCCCGGGTTCAAGTAGACTCTGCCCAATCCACAGCAACTTCAACAATTAATTGATAACTCACAAAAATTTGTTTCCATCATCATTGCTCTTTTTCCTTTGTGGCAATTTCAGCATCATTATTTCTACGTTTTATAGTAAAAATTTAAAGCCATCATTCCGTTTTACCTCAACCCAGTGTCCTTTAAAATCTTTAGCATAATTTTCTTAAGTCACTGTAAAAATGTTTTGGGATGAGACTTTTCTTGAAGCGCGTAGCTTTAATGAAATTAGCTTCCGTTCCTTTTTTTTGCTGTAGTCAATTGAAATACGATTATTTCCACGCATTTAAGGTTTCCATTTTATTTCCTATTCGCCTTTAACCGAAATAAATTGCAATTCATCTTTTTCCTACCTTCAAATGCCACCCTTCAAAGCTTACAAATATCAATTTTTTTTCGTAAACTCACTCGCCCCTTCTGTGCAAGTATTTAAATTTACTTTACGATTTACTTACCTTATTGGCTGTAATTTATGTACATATATTAAAATTTTACAATTTACACTACGTCAATAACTCAGCGCTTGCCGCTGGCGTGGCCTACTGAACTACTTTCTTAGTGACCACAGGTTGAGGTTGAGGTTTTTTTTTTCTTACCAATTTAAATTTAGCTTAAGCTGCTTCCTTTTATTTGCATATTTGCCACCTTTTCTTGCGTTTTTCAGCACAATTTCCCGTTTATACCGTATACTTGCTTCATCTAGGAAAAATTTATAATTGTAATTAATTTTCTGTTGAAATTCATTTCATTATTTACTGCTGTTTTCTTTTCTTTTTTTGTATTCCTTTTCATTGTAGCCTGCTTCGAGGAGAGTGAGGACTTGCCCTGTTTTCACACTGGACAGGATGTGCTGGACAAATACAGCTTTAATGAATCGAATCTGTACAGGAATTTGCTTGCGATTTTGGCTATTTACTTTTCCTTTCACATCCTGGGCTATTACTGTTTGTGGCGGCGCGCAAAAAAGATTTAATATAGCGCGTGGATGTTGAAGTAGGTTCATCGGATCGACAATTATATGCAAAAGTACTCGCTTATGAATTTAACCTTTATCTTATTAGTAATTCTGTAATATTTTTTTTATATTCGCACACTTTTTTTTTTTTGAGAACTGCCACTTATTTAAATGAGATTTATTAGCATTCAAGCTGTACTTTATTTTATAGCTACAGCTCTTCTTACAATTATATTTAGATATACGTATTTGTATTTAAATAATATGCGCCAGATAATACGTATTGGCCAAACACTGGCTAAAAATATAATTTTCTGTACTTAATAAGGTATCAAATTGTTTTTATTATAAGGGATGAGTTCCGGGATATGCTGGGAAATGAAACATAAAAATTGCGCTGACTTTAGTGTAAGAGTATATTCTAGACTGTAGAGCCTTCATTTGTTCAACATATTACTTCTATAGGTAACAAATGGCTCTGATCCTTCGCTATTATAATAGGGATCAAAAATATTTCTAAAAAGTAGTCAATAAGTATTGAATGTCACTGAAACTTTAATACTTGTTTGGCCTTAATAGGTGATACCCATTACTCCATCTGCGTAGCTGACTACTTTTTTAAAATTAACAAATAATGCTCGAAGGCTTTTTCATACTGAAGGTATCTCAAACTGAGACATTTTCTATCAAATGCACATCTTCACCCTGTTACGAATTCCTGCAGATGGTCATTTCCATCCGGGGAAATACAAATTTGAATACACTTGTGCCCGCAACTTCGTTTCTGTGTAAAAAAAAGTTGGTATTTGCATCGAATCATAGTTACCATTGGACCGAGCGCATACTTACGTTTTACACAAATTCACCATTTCGCTTATAATATTTCATGTAAGCACGATCGACACCAAATTAATTCTCATGGGAATAATAACTCATCCCACAATCTAATTTTTTTGGTAGTGATTTTTACTTTCTTAATGAATATTTTAAATATTTTCTAATTTACTTTACAATAGTCTCAAATATTGTGAGCTATTTAGCAGCCCTTAAGATGGAAAAATCAAATGAAACGTTTCTACGAAATATTTTGATAGTAAAAAAAAATATTTTTTTAATCAAGCCTTCTAAATATGAACGAAGTCAGACGACATAAGTCATAAGTTAGCTGGAAAAAAAATTCACTTCTACGAATATCGAATGTTTATAAAAGGAACCTGTAAATACTTACACATTTGAGATGTTTTCCCATTTCAAATTGAACCACCATTTTCATACACTTTAGTTTTTTTTTTATTCGCTTGCAAACATGTTTTCTTTCTTTAACACTCGTATAATAACACATTTATTCTTAAAATTTAAAATAATTTTTCATTTACAGTATTTTTAAATATTTCATAACACATTATATATAAATACACATAAATATATACTTTCAATTTTAATACAATTTACATTGGTTACATACATACATAATATTAGCTTACTTTTTTTTGCAATTTTATTTTCATTGTACATGTTTTACATTTGAGTTTGTGTGATAAAGATGATTTATACCTTTCTATACAATGCAGTATTTAAGCACACTGGCAGCCGAAATGTGCACACATTTTTTGTTTGAAAAAGCTCTACAATTATTTTTCTAACAAAGAGCAATATGAGTGCATAGTTTTATAACTAATTTAATTAATAACTAAAATAATAACAAGTTCAGTATAATTGCTTTGAAAGTACTTGACAACTTGTTCTACTAACCAAAAATATCTATTAGAATGCTATGCATGTGAGGAATTTGTGTTTGTTTTGAAAATATTAAAATATCTAATTTAATTAGAATTAGTAAAAAATGTATGGTAAGTATGTATGTATGTATATCCATGTGTGTATAACTCTAAATGCCAAATTTGTGTATATACATTAGACCGTACAACCTTACAGCAAACACAAAATCTTCGCCGCATAGCCAATATATTTGCAAAACAATTTCGAAACAATTTTTTTTTTAGCCGAATCTAGGAATCACCTTTTTACATTTTTAGGTGACCCCTCAATTCAGCTATAAAAAAATTTGTTTTAAAATTGTTCTACTAGAATAATCAAAATACTTACTTAGCAAAAATTTAGTGATTTTTATTGAGCTTCAATTTACGGACATTAGGGTGCTACGTTAGGAGGATAAGAACTTGGATCTGATGGATAAGTGGTGGCATGGTGTTTTTGAGGTCAATAGACTTTGGAACAAAAAAAGTGTTTTCCCAAGAACATCGATATATAATATTTCAGATGCGATTGTAAATATCGAAATTCCGATGAAAAATTTAAAAGGTGATCCCTAAGTTCGGCAAAAAAAAATGTTTTTTTCGAAATCGCCTTGCAAAAATCATTCATTCTTAATCGTGTATGAGGAACTTTTTTTCTGGTACCATCTAATGTATACATACATACGAAAATATACATACAGTCAGCGTGAAAAGTATGCTTACCCTAACGTTTTGACGATTTTATTTATTTATATTTCCCATACCAAATTTTTATTTATTTATTTATGTTTTTAATAAGGTGCGTTTAACAGCAAAGACCACAAGAATTAATTTTTTGTTTTAATTTCATACAGTACTCGGGTAAATGCAAGAAATTTTCATCGAATTCTAAAATTTTTTAATTCGTTTTCTTCAGGGACCGTAACGGTTATAAGTTTTATTATAAAAATCACTTTTTAATCGTTATTAACTGAGTTTTATTTTTTGCTCGGAAAATAATGGTTACATTTTAAGTTTTGTTTTTTGCTCGGAAAATAATGGTTACGTTTTAAGTTTTATTTTTTGCTCGGAAAATAATCGTTACATTTTAAGTTTTAATTTTTGCTCGGAAAATAATCGTTACGTTTTAAGTTTTATTTTTTGCTCGGAAAATAATCGTTATTTCTTGAGTTTTATTTTTTGCTCAGAAAATAAAACTTAATTTTTGCGTATGCGTATGCGCTTTTTTGCACTTTTTCTTTAGAAATGTGGTTCTCTTTGTTTCTGCCCTGGTATCTGTATTTTCATTACCCACTCCACAGTGGCGTTAAAGGTTCAATGCAGCCGCCCCCTGTCTATTCACGCATGCGCATACGCATACGCAAAAATTAAGTTTTATTTACTGAAAAAAATAAAAGTCAAGAAACAACGATTATTTTCCGAGCAAAAAATAAAACTTAAAACGTAATCATTATTTTCCGAGCAAAAAATAAAACTTAAAACGTAACGATTATTTTCCGAGCCCAAAATAAAACTCAAAACATAACGATTATTTTCTGAGTAAAAAATAAAACTCCAAATATAATGATTAAACTTGATTTTTATAAGTAAAAATTAAAAAATAAAAATCAGTGCCGCTGAAGGTACTCCGAGTAATAAGAAATATATTGGTTTACTCCTTATGCACGTAGCATTCAGCTTTCCGCGTGATTTTTTGAGTTGAAATTTCAAAGGATAATCGTTATTTGCGGTCCCTGGTTTTCTTAGAAAAATTTTGAGTATGCAGTTTTTACCAGATTCAATTTCAATCTAATACAGTGCATGTATGAAGTTGCTAAAAATGACCGCTGATTTTTGTGAATTTTTTTCGTTGAAGGTGTTGCGTACCTTCTTTCATACAAAAAAAAAAAAAAAAAAAAAAAGATTGTATTCATGCGTTAAATGGAAGAAAGCTACATGAAACTTGCACTTTATTATACTGTAATTTAATGGGCTACAATACAGCGTACTCAAAAATTTTATAAGAAATCGAATTGAAAATTCTAATGTTTCGACGAAAATTCTTTGGTATTTCTAACATTTTCCCGAGTTCTGTATGAAATTACAAAAAAAAAAATTGATTCTTGTTGTTTTTGCTGTTGAATAAACTATATTTTATTAAAAAGAAGAAAAAATTTTTATGGAAAACACAAATAAAAAGAGTCGCCAAAACGTTAGGGTATGCATATTTTTGACGCTGACTGTATACATGTATGTATGTATGGGTGCATATGTAGAATATTCACCACAATAACCGCTACTTCAATTAGTTTACATATAAAACACTAATTAAATTCCATTAACAGCTGCTCACAACTCATGGCCACTTAAAAGGCAAAACACAAAACTCATCACTCATTCGGTCAGATGCACATAAACTTTTTCGCCAGTTTTTTTTTTTTTTTTTTTTTGCGAAATCAAAAAGTTTTCTTTCAGAAATGAGCCACGTCTAGCCTTTTCTAAAATTTTTTTCACAAAATAATAATTATTAATTATAAGCGCAAACAACTCAACAGTTAGAAAAACATTACAATTGATTTAATGCGATTACAATTAATTTAAAAAGGAAGCCATTTTAATTGTAAATTATTTTTGGACTACATATTCTATACAAACATATGTATGTAGATATGTACTACATACATACAAATAGGATTACAATCACAGTAAGATATTTTATATTTTAGGTATTATTTATAATTTCAAATTTTTTTTCTCGTACTCTTAGTTGCTTCAATTTTGTACATTTATGCTTTGGGTGTGTTACTTTTATTTGTATTTTCATTTGTCATTACTTGTAATTATATTTACATAAAAAAAGATTAGCATAGTTAGCTTTGGTATTTACATACATATTTGGTTGTTTATTTTGTGAAAACTTTACTTTACATGAGTTTTAATCAACATGGCATTTCGTTGGTTTACCATAAAAGCAAATTATATCTTTTGAACCCAAAAATAATTTAACTGTTGTTTACACTGTGCACTATAGATTTACGACAGCATTTTGAGCGGAAAATGTAGCAGAGAGAAGCGCAGCGAACCTGATGGTTTGCGTGTAGCCCGCCTTTCAGAAAACAAGCAAACCAGCTATTTTTTATCTTTTATTTTTTCTTGGTGTACCCAGCATAGTTGCTGTATCGCACCGTGACCGAAATATTGGACCTCATGCATAAAAACTGAGCTTAAGCTCCGACTCGATTTTCAGTACAAATTCTTGAGCTTGAGCTCACCCCTTCAGTGCAAAAATTGAGTCTGAGCTTAAGCTCACTTTTTATGCATAAGGCCCATTATTTCATTTCATTTTCTTCCATACACATTTTTTTATGAAAAAAGGCGTAATTCACTTAGAAAAAATAGTTGTCAAAAATTAATGCGATTTTTTTACAAACTAAAACTAGTAAAAGAATTTAATGGGCTATAAAACTGCATACCCCAAACAATTCTGAAATATCTGATTTAAAAGTTGAAAATTTAAATGCAAGCGGATTATTTTAATTTTTTATGTTTTAT